CTTGGCTGGATTTAGATAATGAAACCCACCTCCTGGCACCTGAGCTGAAGGTCAGGCTGACAACACACCTGCCTCTGGCAAGGTATGTTTCCAGGGCAGGGCTCTGCTGGGCACCACTGGATTCAGATGACAATCAGCTGAGGGGCCTTTTCCAGGCCCTCTCTACAGTTGAGTTGTATGAGTTTTTTATAAATTTTGGATATTATCTCCATATCAATGTATCCTTGGTGAATATTTTCTCCCATTCAGTAGGTTTTCTTTTCATTTTGTTGATTGTTTCTTTCACTGTGCAAAAACTTTCAGTTTGATGTAGTCCCATTTATTTTATCTTTTGTTTCCCTTGCCTGAGGAAATATATTAAAAAAATACTGCTAAGAGAGATGTCAGAGAGTTTACTGCCTATGTTTTCTTTTAGGAGTTTTAGGGTTTTGAGTCTCATATATAAGTGTTTTATCCATTTTGAGTTTATTCTTGATATGGTATAAGAAAGTGATCTAGTTTCATTTTTTGCATGCATCTGTCCAATTTTCTTAACATTATTTATTGAATGGACTGTCTTAATTCCATTGTATGTTCCTGCCTCCTTTGTCATATATTAATTTACTATATAGGTGTGGGTTTATTTCTGGGCTCCAATCTGTACTATTTTAAATATAAATGTAAATCTTAAGATATTAAAATAATCTCCCCAATACTGAACTCTAAAACACAGTTGTACACATTCATTGATTGGAATTCCATGCTATCTTAAGGATCTGGTGATTATTAATGGGATCTGTCACTAAGGCTTGTTTCATTTTAGAGCCCTGATTAAGGTTAAAGCACCCTCCCAGAAAGCATATTGGACCCTGGAGCCTCCATTCTCAATTTCATTCCCTCCTTCAAATCTTTAGAAGTCTTCTGTATAACAAACATTCATATCTCACTTTGGCCTGCTATATACTTCTTTTAAAAAATATATATTTTATTGATTTTTTTACAGAGAGGAAGGGAGAGGGATAGAGAGTTCAAAACATTGATGCCCACTCCCTACTGGGGATGTGCCCGGAACCCAGGTACATGCTCTTGACCGGAATCGAACCTGGGACCCTTCAGTCCATAGGCCGACGCTCTATCCACTGAGCCAAACCGGTTAGGGCTGCTATGTACTTCTTGATTTCCTCAACCCAGCAAGTCCTTGCATTTATGATGCTGTTGGAATTATTTTGCCCTATTGGCTAGTGAAGGTACCTCAATTTCTTGGCCTTTAGATCCTAACTGGAGGCTTTGTACCCTAGTTTCCTTTCAAGTCAAAAGCCCTCCCTCTTCACATATCAGAGTTCACTAAACTTCTTGTTTTTCATTTTTTAAAATATATTTTTATTGATTTCAGATAGAAAGGAATAGAGAGAGAGAAATAGAAACATCAATGATAAGAGAGAATCATTGATTGGCTGCCTCCTGCATGCCTCCTGCTGGGGATTGAGCCCACAACCCAGGCATGTTCCCTTGACTGGAATTGAACCCGGGACCCTTCAGTCCTCAGGCCGATGCTCTATCCACTGAGCCAAACCAGGTAGGGCTTGTTTTTCATTTTTAACAATATCTCAATGTGTAAATAGAGGTAAGCACTTAATCTTGTATAACACAAAATATGCCAGTATTCCAAAAAATAAAAGCCTAGGGAAAAGCCAGAGTTGTGGTTATATGTGTGTGCACCTGTTTGTGTGTGTGTGTGTGTGTGTGTGTGTGTGTGTGTGTGTGAATTCTGTCCACCAGGGGATGTTGTTTTGCATAACACAGCTGTGTAAGGTAATATAATTCTGCCTTTTGATATCATCCCAGTAAAAGCAATTTCAGCATTTTTCCATATCTAGCAGGACTCACAAAGCATATGATTTTTGAGTATAGTTATTTCTTAGAGGACTTATTGATAAATGTGTCTCTTTGTCTCAATTGTGTAAAACTTTTATTCTGATTGTTATCTTACATATTCCATATAGTTGCCCTGTCTGTTGAAAAAATTCACAGGAATTGATGATGGTATCACAGTTCTTCAAGTTACACGACTTTATGTGTACTTCCTTTTTATATTTGAAGATGCTTTATTTCAGTCTGGATATGTGATAGCTTATTTTCATATGTGGTAGAAGGAAAACAAGACTGGAAATTGGGATCCAGGGGTTCTAGTCCCAGGTGAATCTAGTTATAGTTCCCTAGTTAAGTTGGGTCACTTTGGTAGGTCACTTTACCTTTCTGGCTCTCAATCTCCTCATCTGTAAAATGTTGCAAATTGAACTCAGTGATCTATAGGGTCTCTTCTAACACTAGCAATTTTATCCCTGCAGCTAAATAAAAACTTCTTCTTTCCCTCCCACCCCAAGGTTTTCTTTATCCTGTTTCCTTGCTTTGAGAATCACTGACCAAATTAATATAGTAGTCCAAATGCTTTAGCTAGTCAATCAAGACCCACATCAATGTTGCTTTGCCAGCATTGTCTACTGTTCATAATAGGAACCCCCATTTATATATAGATTGAATTTCTTACTGCATATGCCTATCTTCATTGTCACTCCTCCTGTTAAAATTCTCTTTTGGTTAAAGGGGAACGGTTTATACACTCTGAAGAGAAGAGAAATGAGAGTATGATTTATTGTTCCATTTAATTATGCATTCATTGGTTGCTTTATGTATGTGCGCTGACTGGGGATCAAACTGGCAACCTTGGTGTATCAGGACAATGCTCTAACCAACTGAGCTACCCGGCCAGGTCACTTATTGGTTAAATAGATTTTATTTTTATTTATTGATTGAGTTTAGACAGAGAGAAGGAGGGAGGGGAGTAGGGAGAGAAAGAAAGAGAGAGAAATATCGTTTTTAATATATTTTTATTGATTTCAGAAAGAGAAAGGGAGAGAGATAGAAACGTCAATGATGAGAGAGAATCATCCATTGCCTGCCTTCTGCATGTACCCCCAATGGGGATCGAACCCACAACTGGCACATGTGCCCTGACTGGGAATCGAATTGTGACCTTTGGTTCATGGGTCGATGCTCAACCACTGAGCCACACCGGCTGAATGAGAAATATTGATTTTTTTTGTTCTACTTATTTATGTATTCATTGGTTTATTCTTGTATGTGCTCTGACCGGGGATTAAACCTACAACTTGGGCGTATCTGGATGACGCTCTAACCAATTTAGCTACTTGGCCAGGGCTTGGCTTGAATTAAGAAAAAAGAAATACTCATGGACACAGATAACACTATGGTAATTGCCAGAGGGAAGCGGGGTGGTAGAATAAGGTAAAAGGGGGGTAAATGGTGATGAAAGGAGACTTGACTTGGGGTGGTGAACACACAATACAATGTAGAGATGATGTATTTTTGAATTGTACACCTGAAACCTATATAATTTTATTAACCATTGTCACCCCAATAAACTCAATAAAAATTTCTTTTGGGCAACAGAATAATCATCATCTTTAAGGACAAGCTTAAATATCACACTTTCCTGTGAAAAAGCCTTTCCTGATCACCTAGCCCTTTTTTTCTTTCATCAGAACTCAAATCAGCATTTATGACATGCCTGACACTCTACTTGGCATTTTAGGAGGTAGAAAGATGTAGTAAGTCCCTGAACTTAGAGACAGGCTGAAATTGCAAATGAGCATTTTGTGCAGAGGGAGTAGCATGAGCAAAAACTTGAAGATAGCAGAATGGAAGATGTGTTTGGGTAAAGCCTTAGAGTCCATGGCCCGTACTTATTTGGTCTGTATATTGTGTTACAACAGTTCTTGTGATAGTATGCTATCATATAATGTGAAGTGATGGTTCATTTGTTATTTATTGGCCACCCAGTTTCCAGTTTCCTTTTGGAGTAGTTCTTCTTCATTATTAGTTTGGGTGGCATGGGAAATTTTGGTGCCTGTATCCAATAAGAGAAGCCAAAGGGATCAGGTCTTTTCTCCCAACAAAACTATAGAGTGGTGGCCACATGATGTAAGGTTAGCCAGCTTACATTATTTCTTTGAACTTGCTTGACTTCTTTCTTACCAGTCTAGATCTCTTTACCCATCAATTCAATCACCCTGTTGCAATTACCCTCAAGTCTCTTGACTCCTTGTATCCAGTTCTCCCTGCCTTAACAAAACCTCCAAAACTATAGGTGCTCCATTCTCCTCACTCACTGGAATGCCTACAGATTGAACTCCATTTATACCCACTCTTGTGCTCCTGTCTGTATAGAGGAAGTATGTTCCTTTGGTGCAAGAACAGTTCTTTCATCTGGAATTTGGATCCTCTCCCCTGCCACTTCTTCATGGTCCCTTTTCTATCAGTTATGTTTTTTCATATCTTTGACCTCTCAAATGTTTTTATCTTTTTATCATATAATCATGTTCACATGTCATGTTGGGGAGGTGGGTAGACTATCTTTGACCCAAAATCTTCCTAAAATTATCCCATTTCTCATTTAACTTAATACTAAACCTTCTGAAAGGCATGGAATAAACTTGCTGTGTGCATATTAACAACTGATTGATTATTTATCTTCCTATGGTTAGGTTTCTATGCCCTACTCACCTCTAAATCTGTTCTTCCTAAGGTCCTCCATATTGCAAAATTCAATGGGAATCTTTTGTTGTAATCGTATTTCACTTCTATGTCATATTTTATATTGTCCAATTCTTTATTCCCTATTTCATTTGTTATTTTTAAATTTGTAGTAAGCAGAGAAAGCCATTTAACATTATAAATTTTTGAGTGATAAGTTATTTCTATTATTAATGCTCCTCAGTGAATATTGAATGTAATGTTTATGTTTTGTTTTAAAATTTTGTAATTAAGATATAATTCACAAATCATAAAATTCACCATTTTTAAAATATATGACTAATTGGTTTTTAGTATATTCATAGAGTTGTGTAACCATTACCACTGTCTAAATCCAGAATATTTTTTTACCCCAAAAAGAAACCCTGTACCATTAGCTGTCATTTCATGATTTCCTCTTCCCCCAGGCCTCAATCAACTACTAATCTTTCTATGGACTTGACACTTCTGAATATCTATATATACAAAAGGCTAATATGCAAAGTGTCCCCTTGGAAGTTCTACTGGGAAACCGGGAATTCGATCACTTGCTATGATGTGCGCTGACCACCAAGGGGCCAGTGTGGAACAAAGGAGAGCCCTGGCCAGCAGCCAGCAGTCAAGGAAGAGAGGCCCCAGCTGGCAGCCAGAAGGCACCGATCAGCCCTGATCGCCAGCCAGGCCTAGGAACCCTACCCGTGCACGATTTTCATGCACTAGGCCCCTGGTTTCATATAAATGGAATCTTATGTGTCTGGCCTCTTTTTCTTAATATTTTCAAGGTTCTATCCTTATTGTAGCATGTATCAGTACCCCACTTCTTTTTTAATGTATTTTTTATTGTTGATAGTATTACACATATCTCCCATTTCCCCCCATTTCCACCCCTTCTCTCAGCCCCTACCCACTCCACCCCCAGGTCATTACTACCCTATTGCCCGTGTCCATAGACTATGCATATAAGTATATGTTATTTGGTTTATCTCTTCTTGTTCCCTCAACCCCAAATCGAGGTATGTCAGTCTGTTCCATGCCTCTATGCTTCAGGTCTTATTTTGTTGGTCAATTCATTTTGTTCACTAGATTCTACAAATAAGTAGGATCATGTGATATTTGTCTTTCTCATTTTTGCTTATTTCACTTAGCATAATATTTTCCAAGTCCAGAAATGTTGTACCAAAGAGTAAGAGATCCTTCTTTTTTTACAGATGCATAATATTCCATAGTGTAAATATCTCATAGATTTTTAAAAAATTCTTTATTGTTTAAAATATTACATGATCTCCTTTTTTCCTCCATTGACCTCTCCCCTGCCACCCCCTCTCCAAAGCACAAGCCCTCACCCTACCTACTATCTATGTCCATTGGTTATGCTTATATGCATGCATACAAGTCCTTAGGTTGATCTCTTAACTCCCCCACCCAACCCTCCCCAGACTGTAGTTTGACAGTCTGTTCGATGCTGCTCTGCCTCTGTATCTATTTTTTTCATCAGTTTATAATGTTCCATAAATGAATGAAATCATGTGGTATTTTCCTTTCATTGACTGGCTTATTTCATTTAGCATTATGCTATCTAGTTCCATCCATGCTGTTGCAAATGGTAATAATTCCTTCTTTTTTTATTAATAAATATTTATTCAGATTATTACAGTTGTTCCTCTTTTCCCCCCCAATAGCTCCCTTCCACCTGGTTCCCACCCCACCCCATGCC